GCCATGCCTTTGCAGCCGCTTGGCTTCTGACCCGTCGAGCCTTGTGGAACAAGAAGTCCTGTCCTTTCCTCTTCCCTGCCGAGCTCTTCACCTGCCCTCCTCCCAGAGCGTGGCCCTGCCCAGCCCCTCTTGTCTCCTCCCCAGGTGATTTGTTGTGAGGGGAACGCAGGCTTCTATGAGGTGGGCTGCGTCTCCACACCACTGGAAGGTAGGCCCTGGTCAGCCCCTCACCTCTGTCCCACCTCCCACACTGAAAGGACCGGTGGGCCTGACCTGCATTTTCTCTGGGTCACCTCACAGGCAAAGCCCCCACGTGCTTTGAAAACCTTCCCTCTCTCCCCTGGGGCAGGGTCCCTGACCTTATGCTCTTCATTCCAGTCCACTGTCCCCACACGCACAAGTACCAAGTCCCAGGCCGCTGCCTCACAACCTGCGATGTCATCTTCTGATTTCGGGAAGGCCGGGAAGGCCTCAGAGCTGAGGGTCCTGCTGCTGCTCCTTCCCCCAGGGCTGGAGAGGGGTTTGGGCCGCAAGGTCTCAGTCCCTCTCCTCCCTGTGTTACAGCTGGCTACTCAGTCCTGGGCTGGAATCATCCAGGCTTTGCTGGAAGCACGGTGAGACCCTCTGGAGCCCTTCCCTTCCTGAATTACCTGGCTTGCTCTGGTCACCCCCTGGAGGGAGGAAGGGGCCTCCTTCTGGGAAGACCTCTCACTTGCCAGGAGGCCGTGGAGCATCTGGGTGGCCACCTCTCCTCTCAGTCTGGGTAGCAGGACCGGAGGAGGCGGGCCTCTCTGTAAACCTGTCTCTGGGAGAGGAGAGCACCCCCCTTCTCTTCTCTGCCTTCTCTGTCGCAGGGTGGCCGCAGAAAGGGCTGATGTTGAGTGGGCGCAGGTGGTAGGCGAGGTGGCCTTCAGCACTGACCACTCCTGCCTTTGCTCTTCCTCCTTCAGGGCGTCCCGTTCCCACAGAACGAGGCCAATGCCATGGACGTGGTGGTCCAGTTTGCCATCCACCGCCTGGGCTTCCAGCCCCAGGACATCGTCGTCTACGCCTGGTCCATTGGCGGCTTCACTGGTACGGGCCTCCCTCCACTCTCTGCCGTAGATGCATCCTCCCCTGCTCACACCCCTGGTGCCCTGGGGGGGGGGGAGGCTTGAGGAAGAAGAGGGAGGACGTGGAATTTCTGGGGGGCCTGGAAGAAGGTATCTACCTTTCCTTCTCCCCGGGCCTGATGGTTAAAGTGACCAGGGTCCCGGGGTGGGACACTAGGGAGCACGTGTTTCCTCCGCCCACGGTCTTCGTGCACTTGTGTGTTCACTCGCCCCCTCTCCACGTAGTGTTCTGAGAGAAGTACGGGTTAGGCAGAGACCGGGGGTTTGCAGTCGGTCCCGGGGATGAGGTTAGCGTGGGTCAGGAGGAGGGCAGGAGTCCTCTGTCCTCATCCTTCTTCCCTGTCTTGGCACCAGCCACGTGGGCAGCCATGTCCTACCCAGACGTTAGTGCTGTGATCCTGGACGCCTCCTTCGATGACCTGGTGCCCTTGGCTTTGAAGGTCATGCCGGACAGCTGGAGTGAGTGCAGCCCCCAGGCCTGGCTCTCTACCCGGGGATGGTTCCCTTTTCTGTGGCTTGGGAATAGGTCACCCAGAGTTGAGAAGCAGAGACTTCCCTCTGTGGGGGCCTCAGCCTTCTGTGTGTATGAACGTTGGGGACTTTATGTTGGGCAAGGACCTTGTCCCTGCCATTCCTTCACCTTCTTCCCACTCTAGGGGGCCTGGTGACCAGGACTGTGAGGCAGCACCTCAATCTAAACAATGCGGAGCAGCTGTGCAGGTGAGGCCAGGCCTGTCCAGCCTCCAGCGCAACACCCACCCTCCCCAGCTCTGCTGGGCCTGCAGACGTGGAAGTCAGTGCTGAAGTGCAAGTGGGCAGGTGGCCACTGTCCCACACCCTGCGTCACTGCTCCCACCCACTCTGGCTGTACCCTCCCAGGTCTTCTGGAACCCTGGACCTCTTCATGGCCTGGCAGCCAAAGGGTTCATGCCTGGCACAGCAGGAGTCTCCTAGCAGGGCCAGTCTCTGAGCAATAGCCATTCTTAAATATTGTGATTCTGGGCCAGCCAGGGGTGTTGGTTAAGGCGGTTGAATCCTGTGTGGCGGGTTGTGCAGTTTGAGTCCCAGGCACGGTAGCTTGAGAGACACTGGTCACATGTGCGTCCATGCCCAGAGTCCCAAGGGGACAGTGGGGGGAAAGAGATCGCCACGTGGCTATCCCGGGGGTGTGCGTGTGCCTGATTTGTTTTCCCTCTTCCACCTTCTGGCAAGCACACACACCCTATACAAACTAAAGAAACAAAATTCCGGTTCTCACCTCAGAGAAGGGCTGCGCCACGGGGTGCTGCCCGTGAGGGGTTGGCCGGGCCAGTCGTCACCTGGCCGAGCGCTCCCTCCCGTGCTCTGCCCTCCACAGGTACCAGGGCCCCGTGCTGCTGATCCGGAGAACCAAGGACGAGATCATCACCACCACGTGAGTGCCTGGGAAGCTCCGCCCCCCCTCCCCTGCCCATCTGCAGCCCCTCCAGGCTAACTTCTCATCCCCAGGGTTCCCGAGGACATCATGTCCAACCGAGGCAATGACCTCCTCCTGAAGCTTCTGCAGCATCGGTGAGAGCCAGGGTGTGCGTGTGTGCGGTGGGGCTGGACGTGGATATCTGCACACCCAGCACAGGGAGGGAGGGAGACGGCTCTGGTGAGGAAGACAGAGTCCGGTCCTACCCTATCCCTCTGTAGGTATCCCCGTGTGATGGCCGACGAAGGTCTTCAGGTGGTAAGGCAGTGGTTGGAGGCCTCTTCACAGGTGGAGGAAGGTAGGAGGGGGCCCTGTGACCCCCATCTATGATCTTCGGGCGATGGCCTGGTAAGGCCAGGTTGCCGACAGGCCTTCGCTTCTGTCCCTAACAGCCTCGATTTACAGCCGATGGGAAGTGGAGGAGGACTGGTGTCTGTCTGTCCTCCGCTCCTACCAGGCAGAACACGGGCCTGACTTCCCCTGGAGCGTAGGTAAGGAGGTCTGGGGGCAGGAAGGGGGAAGAGCCTGAGGACAGGAGGCGTAGCCGATGCCTCCCTGTACCGCGTGCCTGCTCTCCACAGGGGAGGACATGAGCGCGGACGGACGGCGGCAGCTGGCTTTGTTTCTGGTGAGCTACTGAGGCGGGCAGAAGAGGGTGGGTGGCCAGGAGGGAGAGGCAGGCAGTGGCAGCTTTTGTAGAGCAGATGGTGGTTCGGAGCCTGGAGGGCAGCTGCTGCTCACTGCAGTGCTCTGCACGGCCCCTTCTCTGCAGGCGCGAAAGCATCTGCACAACTTCGAGGCCACACACTGCACCCCGCTCCCGGCCCAGAACTTCCAGATGCCCTGGCACCTCTAGGGACCATGCTGAGACTCACTCTAGAAGAATGAGCCATGAGGAGCCATGAGAAAGGAGCCACTTATTTGTGATTCTGTGTTCATGTTGCTGTTTATAGTTCGTGGAAGTGGGGGACCATCCCCCTTCTCACCTTGCACGTTTCCTGTCATCCTGCCCTTCTTCAACGCACACCCTGCATAATAAATGGATTATTCCTAATAATTAATAAAAAGGTATTTTTTCTACTATCTGGCTAATTGTGTGACTTCCGAAGTGTCCAGGGAGCGCAGCGGGCCCAAAGGGTTGAGCTTTGGGAAACCCCCAACCTAGGCAGCCGTTTTACCCCTCCCCATCTGTGCATGTCCCAGGCATCCAGCCCCAGCCTGAACTGTCCTCGTATAGCAGGTCCAAAAGCCACCATCCCCTTATCACCACGCACAGCCTCTCGGCCCCACCCTCCCTCGGTCATTCCCTCGGAGCCCATGGTTGCCCCCTCTTGTTTAAGCTCATGAGTTTCTTTGCCTACAAAGTATTAATACTTTCTTTCTTAAATTATTTTATTATTTTAAGTTTGCTATGGTGCATGTTTGCTCACCAGAGAGAGAGAAAGGTGAGAAAGCAAACTACCAGATCCAGGACTTGAACTGCAGTCAGCCACGTGGGAGTCCAGTATTTTTTTTTTCTTTTTTTGGAGAGGTTTTTGCTATAGGGCGTGTGCGCTCACCAGAAAGGGAGAAATCACCCCCCCCCCAAGGGGGATGGCTAGGCTGCAATCCCTTCTCCTTTTTCCTCTTGGGATCTTGGGCATGCATGCACACATGCCCGGCGTGAGTTTAAGCCACCAGGTCCGGGACTCAAACTGCGGTCGACTACACAGGAGTCCAGCAACATAGCCATTAGGCTAACTGCTGGCCCCAGGAGTCCAGTATCTTCACCACACCACTTGCTGGCCCCTACACAGTACTTTCTAGTATCCATTTGCACCTACTCGGCTTCACTGATAGCAGGTCCAACCCATGCAGTGTCACTGTCAGTAACCCCACTTCATGTAGGAGTGAGGACCTGCCCCTTTCCCACGTCTTAGGCAGCAAACCCTGTTCACCCTCGTTGCTATGTTATAAAGTCTCTCTCCGCACACCCTTTTTTTTCTTTTTCTTTTTTTTTTTTTTTGAGAGATTTTCACTGTAGGGCGCGTGCGCTCGCCAGACAGATAGAGACATAGAGACAGAAAGCGAGAAATCACCCCCCAGGGGTGATGGTCACGCTGCAATCCCTTCTCCTCCATTCTCCTCTCGGGATCTTGGGCACGCACGCACATGCGCCCGGCGTGAGTTTTAAGCCACCGGGTCCGGGACACGAACCGCGGTCGACTACGTGGGAGTCCAGCGACATAGCCATTACGCTAACTGCTGGTTCCCCCCTTTTTTTTCTTTTTAAGTTGTGCTGTAGGGAGCATGCACTCACCAGAGGGGGAGAGAGAAAGCAAGCACCCCCCAGAGCGATGGCCATGCCACAATCTCTTCTCCAGTCTACTCTCAGGATTTGTGGCATGCGGGCGTATACACCTGGCATGTTTTTTCTTTTTCTTCTCTCCCCCAGTTTTTGCCATAGGGCACGTGAGCTTGCTGGAGACAAAGAGATGGAGGAAAAGTGAGAAATCCCACCCCCCTACTGAGATGGCCATGCCACAATCCCTTCCCCATTCTCCACGCCTGCATACCCAACTTTTTTTTTTAAGAGATTTTTACTATAGGGTGTGTGCACTTCCTGGAGACACACAGAGAGACAGAAAATAAGAAATCACTCCTCCCACCCCCCGTGATGGCCACATCACAATCCTTTCTTCTCCATTCTCTTCTCAGGATTTTGGGCTCGCACACATACGTACCCATTGTGAGTTTTAAGTCGCCAGGTCTGGGTCTCGAACCATGGCTGTCTACATGTCCAGTGACATAACCATTATGCCATCTGCTGGTCCCACTGGTGTGATTTTTGAAGCCACCAGGTCTGGGATTCAAACCATGATAGGCCACTATGGGAGTCCAATGCCTTAACCACCATGCCACCTGCTGCACCCCTGCCCCCACATGTCTTTTCAAGTCATGGGGTCCAGGACTCAATCATGCAGCCAGCCATGTGGGATCCAGCTACCTTAACCATTATGGCACTGGCTGGCCCTTCCAACACAATTCACACATTTCATTCATTCCCAAGTTCTAGGGGACACTCAATGGCATGTGGTTTCCTCTTGTTTCTCTCTTCTGGTTGGTCTTTCTGGCCCACATCTCCTGTATGTTCCTTTTCATCTTTCCCCTCATCACCCTGAGATGGGATGATTCTTGGATAGATGGGTAGCTATAGGGAACCCTAGTTTCAGGTCCCTCCCCAAATCTCCAGACAGGAAAATTGTACTCAAACTGTAAGGTCGGCCATGTGGGATCCAGCCACCTTAGCCACCACACCACCAGGTGGTCCCTCACACCCCTTTTGCAATTCAACAAACAGGGCCTGCCACAACTGAATGCTGGGTGCCAAGTATTTACATCCTCCCAGATCCATACTTTGCCTTTTGGACAGCTCTGTGAGAAGAAAATTCTTTTTTTTTTTTTTTTGAGAGATTTTCACTATAGGGCGCGTGCGCTCGCCAGACAGACAGAGACATTAGAGACAGAAAGCAAGAAATCACCCCCCAGGGGGGATGGTCACGCCGCAATCCCTTCTCCCCCATTCTCCTCTCAGGAGCTTGGGCACGCACGCACATGCGCCCGGCATGAGTTTTAAGCCACTGGGTCCGGGATGCGAACCACGGTCGACTACATGGGAGTCCAGCGACATAGCTATTACGCTAACTGCTGGTTCCCAGAAGAAAATTCTAACGACAACAAAAACAGTCCCTCATAACTTCCAACCTATTTGTAATCCTTGAACCTCATGAAACAGAATGAGTCCTCTTCCACACATCAATTTGTGGCCTGGCCACCTTCTTCCCTCAGACATTCTTTTCCCCATGAAACACCCCTTGGTTTAGCAATCTGCTCTCTCTCTCTTTTTTTGTTTTTTTAGAATTATTTTATTTATTTATTATTATTTTCTCACATGAGTTTTGCCAGAGAAAGACACAGAGAGAGGGGGAAAGTGAGAAAGCAAGCCACCAGGTCCAGGACTCGAACCATGGTGGGCCATGTGGGAATTCCAACGCCCTAACCACTACGCCACCTGCTGGCCCCTGGTCTCAAGTTTTGAACAAGATGCTAAATGTGGGAGGTAAAGCTCTCTGATGTCCTAGATCCGGTCTCTGCTCATTTTTGTGTCTCTTTCAATCCCATTGCCTGAGGCTCCTCTGCAAGGCTAGGGGCAGAGGCTGTATCTGCCTCCATCAGCTCCTTAAGGGAAAGCACAGTGGGTCTCCACTAGACGGAGAGGTCTGAGACTCACTCGGTGATGTGACACCTGAAATCAGGTTAGAAGAGGGAGGTGACTACAGCTCAAGAACCCTCCACAGGGGCCAGGAGATGGCGTTGCAGTTACGTTCTGCAATTTGAGTCCTGGCCTCGGGTGGCTTGAAACATGCCGGGTGCATGTGCCTGTGCGTCTTGCCCAAGATCCCAGAAGCAGAGTGGAGAAGGGGTTGAGGGCATGGCCATCCCCCTCCCTCAGGATTTTTCTCTGTCCCTCTCACTGTCTCTGTCTCTCTCTCTCTGAAAAGCACGAGTGCCTTAAGGCCAAAACCCCCACTTAGCAAACAGCAGGTGGAAAACTGATACTGGCCACCCTCCCCTCTGCCTCATCCCAGAGGGCAAGCAGTGGAAGGTGGGAAGCCAGCCTGGAAGCTGTGATTCTGAGCCCCGCCCTCCCAGATCCAGCAGGATGGTTAATCCATTGGACACCAAGTCTGTTCAGCTAGGGGAATCTGTACATGCAAGCAGGGGACCCCGGGCGGATCTCCCACACTCCGGAGTAAAGGACTCCCCCTTCCTCGTCATAGCCTTTAGACTGCTGGCCGGCCACACCACACTTCTCTCTGTAGGAGCAGTGGGCGCCTCGAGGGGCCCCTTCTACCTGCAGCGGTTGGGAAGGCTCAGACTGGCAGTGCGTCTTCAGAACCACCCCTTACCTGAGGGTGGTGCAAACGCCCTGGCCGCTTCTCACCCTACATAGCAGGGTCCTGGCAGCTCCAGGGCAAGATCGGCTGAGACGCAGCCCCCGGAGCGACTGCAGCTCTGGACCCTGCCGTGCTGGGCATCGGGCGAGGCCTGGGCGAGGCCTGGGCGCCCGGCACCCAGAAGAGTGGGCAAACTGGAAGGGAAATGGAGGCTGGGAAGAGGGAGGCTGGAGTGCGCAGAGGAGTGGGAGAGGCCCGCGGGGGAGCCTATCTCACTGCCATTGACCCAGACCCCGCCCTGCGGACTCCGCTTGGGGCTGCGTATCTGGGATGAGGACTTGCTCCCGCACCCCGGCAGGGGCATGTCTGACACGTGGGATCCCGGGGGCTGGGGGACCCGGGCGTCGGGGATAGTCGGGGCCTCCCGTCCGTCGCTCCGTCCATGCAATCCACACGCCAGCCAGCTCCCTCGGGAGCCCTCCGACCACGTTTCCATGCACTGACACCCAGGCTCCGGCCTCTCTCCGCTCCTTCCTGACGCAGGCCTGGCCGCGCCCCAGCGAACCTGGCAGTCGCCGCCGGACCATCCGAACTGCGGTTCGGTCCTCGGGCCGCTCTGCCTTTGTTCCGTTACGCGGCTGCCTACCCCGGTATTCCTCGTCCGGAAGGAGGGGCACTTACAGTGGACGCCAAAGCCCGCGGCTGTCGCCATGGCGACTGCTGCTACGCCTCGCCTCTGAACCTCCGCAAGGCCTCGGTGGAACCCGCCGCCATGGAAACGCTCTAGCGGCTCTTCTGGAGAGCTCCGGCCCGGCCACGCAGGCTGGGGAGGGGCGAAACGAGGCCCCGCCCCCCGATGCCCCGCCCCGAGGAGGAGGCCCCGCCCTCCGCGCGCACAGTCGCGGTCCCTCTTCGGTGGTCCCTAGGACCTCCCAGGGGGCTCCCTCCGAGCCGGGCCTCCGTCCCCTCGCTCACCGGTTCTTGGCCTTACTCTGCTGGCGGGAGGACGCTGTGACCCCCTCGGTCTCCACCTTGCCCTCGCTGGAGAGGAGGCCGGGCGACCAGCAGATGGCGTAATGGTTACTTCGCTGGACTCCCGCGGTTGGAGTCCCGACCCGGTGGCTTAAAACTCACTCCCGGGTGGGGGCCGGCAGGTTGCGTGGTGGTTAAAGGGGCTGGACTCCCATATGGCTGTCCGCAGTTCAAGTCCTGGACCTAGTGGCTTGCTTCCTCGCTTTCTCTCTCTGATCAAGCTGAAAATAATAAAGTTTAAAAAAAAAAAACAACTCACTCCGGGCGCGTGTGCTTGCCCAAGATCACGAGAGAATAAGGGATGGCCATCCCCCCTAGGGGTTGATATCTGGCTTTCTGCCTCTCTGGCGAGCGCACATCCCTTATACCAAAACCAAATTTTTAAAAAGAGGAGGCCGGATCTCTGATTCTGTGTCTATCACAGCGCCCTCCGTCATCAGCATTTGCGTGGGTGACAGGTGCTCACCATGGGTGGCACGTTTCATCCATTCCAAAGCTGTGCGGGGGATCCCGGTTGTCTTTCTAGCGCACTGCCTTCGTCCCACCTTCCCCCTCATCAACCCAAGACCCAAGGGCTTCTGATAGGCTGGGGATTCGGGAACCGACCTCGGGGGAAATTGGAGCGGAGTGTAGCTCCTGGACGCCCAACCACCTGGGACAGACTTGGCGAGGTGGGACCGGGCAGGCGAAGGTGGGGGAGCCCACCAGGTTTCCGGCCGAGGATTCCCGCTGAGCGGCTGGGGCCTGCGGTCTCGAGTCCTGGGAGGGACAGTGACCGTGCAGCGCCACCTTCCGGCGAAGCCGTCGCGCCGTAGGTGTCCGCGGGGACTAGGCGGTGGCCGCCCCGCGTCCTCAGCGAGCTCTGGGGTGCAGTCAAGCGCGGAGAGCGAACGCGCAGCGCCGGAGCCTGTGGGCGCCAGAGATCAGACCCACCAGCAAAGCGGGTGGGTGGTGGAAGGTGCGGGGTTGCCGGAACCCTCCGGCCTCCTGGTGTCCTCAGTTTTGGATTTCTGAGTGCACCGCCTCTTGCCCAGCTTGGAAAATGGTATCACTGATCAGCCCCAGCCTCCCAGTGCAGGCCTACCCCTTTACCCCACCCCCATCCGATCTCACATTCATCCACCGCTCTCGTCCTCTTCTGCTAGGCCAGGCCGCCATCTTGTGACTGGATTCTGGAATAGCTTCCCACTTCCCGGCCTGGCTCCTAGTATTACATTTATTCTCCAATGGCCACTTCGACAAGCAGAAATCCGTCCTATTTCTCCTTGGACGAAATCCCTTTGGTCAGTGGCTTCCACTCTGCAGGTGCTCGGTAGCACTCTGCCTGCCCGGAGTTTGCTGGTCACTGTTCTGTGCCCTGTGAGGGCAGGGACTCTGTGCGCTTCTTTTTTTTTTTTTTTAAGAATTATTTTATTATTTTATTTTATTTATTTTGTTATTTTTAATTTGACCAGAGATGGACAAAGCAAGAGCAAGAGAGTGAGAGAGAGAGAGAGAGGGAAAGTGAAAAAGCAGGCCACCAGGTCTGAGACTTGAACCACAGTCAGCCATGTGGGAGTCCAGCGTCCTCAACCACCACACCACCTGCTGGCCCCTCTGTGCGCTTCTGTATCCCCAGTACCTGATGTGACGACCCATTAAAGGTCTGTTGAATGAATGTGGAAGAAAGTTCTCTCATTACCCTGTGGCTGGGCCCTGCCCCCGGCCAGGATGTTAGGCCCTGGCTGTGGGTGAGGACACTCTGTCCCTCGTGGCTAGTCTAGCACTGCTTGCCACCGTAAACTGGTATTGCCTCTCTCCTTCCTCTTGGCCAACTTCTCTTTCACCAATATAAGTCCAGCTGGGATCCGGTGGGCAGTCATGCGTTTCATGCCAGGCGCTGCAGGAAGCTGGAGTCTGGGGGCCCGGGGCCTCCGCAGTGCTCCCCAAGCCCTGTACCTGGGCCTCTTAACAGAGCTGGTCATGATGAGCTTGGTGTTTGGTAAGTGGCTCCAAGGGGTCAGAAGGGTCTCCTGGGCTGCTGGGTGGGGGAAACCAAGTGTCCTGGTTCATTGTCCAGGATGCTCAGAGAAACCCAGGTAGGAGGGAAGATGGGATGAATGGGTTTGGTGGGAAAATGTCTAGGGACTGCTAATGTTCACCCCAAGAGAAACGTCTAGTGACTGGCCCAGGGCTGTCTCTCACTCAGCAGTGGGAGACTAGAATGGAGACACTAAAGGAATCCTCTCCAGATCTGAGGGCAACATAATAAGGTGAGTTAAGAAACATGCTGCATGATGGAACCAGAATCCACAGGGTCCGGCAAGGCTGGAGAGTCTCCTCAGCTGGCTGCAGGGCATGTGTCCCTGCCTCACACCAAACAGTCTGCTGGGTCTGGGGACTTAGGACCATGTGCTTGTCGTTGGGGAGGGAGATGGAGAATAGGAACTTTGGTAGACAAAGTCTACTATGAATCTGCCTAGTGATAGGCCCACCCAAAACAGAACAAGATCGTGGCCCCTGACTGCTTAACATCTCCCATCTCCGTGAAGCAGATGCTTCTTGTCCTGTGGTAGAAGCCCGTCTTCACTTCTGAACATAACAGATTAAGAAAATAGGTTCAGGGACTGGTAAGTGGCATGGTGGTTTAGGACGCCTGGACTCCCACATGACCAACATAGGTTCGAGTCCCAGACCTGGCAGCTCGCTTCGTCACTTTCTCTCTCTCTCTCTCCCCACCTCTCTCACTCTGTCTCTCTCTGGTCAAATTAAAATAAATAGATACATAAAGTTAAATAATAAAATAATTGTTGAAAGAAAACAGATTGTTTTCTTGTCTTTTCTTTTTTGGAGAGGTTTTTGCTATAGGGTGCATGTGCTCGCCAGAAAGAAAGAGAGATAGAAAGCGAGAAATCACCCCCCAGGGGTGTTGGCAACTGCAGCAATCCTTCTCCTCCATTCTCCTCTTGGGCTCTTGGGCACGCACACACACGCGCCCAGTGTGAGTTTAAGCCACTGGGTCCGGGACTCGAACCACAGTCGACTACATGGGAGTTCAGTGACACAGCCATTACGCTAACTGCTGGTCCCAAAAGAAAACAGATTCGAAAGAGTTCAAGGGGTGGAGGAGCCCAAGTCACAGAGGAATAAGTGTCCTGAGAGGGCTCCCCAGTGCTGAAATGGGCCTCAGCCTTATGTTTGAACTTAAAGCCTTACAGAGTGCTGGGTATGCGTTAGCTCCTCAGGATGAATGAATGAATGCACGGGTGAATAAATGAATTCGTTCTTCATCTCTGGCAGTACAAGAGCAGGGAGTGGAGAGTTGAGCAAGGACTAGTGTCTGATGGGAGAATACAGCATATGACTAAGCAACTGGTGATTTTATGGCTTTCAGAGATGCGGCGGTAGAGGGGGAACAGAGGGGGGACCAGCCTGGCATCAGGCAAGCGGCGGTTGGGAGTCAACGCTTCTCTGTGTTCCAGGTAAGATTGCTTCTGTCAACCAGAACCCCTCTTATCCGACGCAGTTTCCCAAGTACCTGCGCTGCTACCGCTGCCTGTTGGAGACGGAGGAGCTGGGCTGCCTCCTGGGGTCTGACATCTGCCTCGTCCCGCTCCTCGGCAGCAGCTGCATCACCCTACACATAAAGAACAGTAAGCTGCCTCTGTGAGGCCCCGGCCCCTCCGCAGCCTCTCCCAGCCTCTGCTCTGCACCCCAAGTCCTGTTCCCACAACCCTGGCACTTGGCTCTCTCTCTCTCTCTCCTCCCACCCTGCTTCCCTCCTCAGCCCCCAGCTGACTGGCCTCCACCTTTCACAGCACCCCCCTGGAAGGGGACCCTGGAGCTCTCCAGATGCCTGGCCTTTCCTCGGGCTACCGGCTTCCCATCTGCCGGAGGGCTCCCTGTTGGCGGCCCTCGGCTCGCTTCTCCTGTGTCTTCCACTGCTTCTTCACGGCCACCTACACTCTGCCTCGCCTCCTCCCTGCCCCTCAGTGTCTGCGTTCACCGAGCTCGGTCCTCAACTGTCTTCCCACATCCCGAGGGGATCTTCTCTGCTTCCTGGGCTTCCCCCAGCAGCCACGTACTGTTTCCTTCTGGATCCCAGTGTTAACACATTGTCCCCTGAACATCGCTGCCTCGTTTTCCAGTTGCTGAAGATCGTCTGTATTCCCTCCTTCATGTCTGAGCTTTCGCACAATCCTCCACCTTTTTTGTTTTGTTTTTTTTGTTTGTTTGTTTGTTTTTTTTTGAGAGGTTTTCGCTATAGGGCGCGTGCACTCGCCAGACAGACAGAAAGAGACAGAGAGACAGAAAGCGAGAAATCATCCCCCAGGGGGGATGGCCATGCCACAATCCCTTCTCCTCCGTTCTCCTCTCG